TAATTAACGACCTTGTACCAGTTCCGCGTCAAAAAGTTGTTGAGGGGAGAGGGACGTCAAGCCCCAAAGTTGTTCAAGAAGGTCCATCTGCTAGCAAGTGGCGCTGACCCGCTTTGACGTTTGTAGTCCTGCTTTTCTATGTGCACTCTTGCACCACTGCCGACTGTCTCCCAAAGAGTCCTCGCCTGTGGCTTGGAAACAAGAGCAACACGGAGGGCGCTTCCCTCCTAGTGTCTTACCCTGGGTCTCGAATTGCCCTGGAATACTAGGCTGGGCAAGCATCGTTGGGAGAATCACATCGGGGTGGATGGGCGCCGTATTTGGCCCAGAGAGGGTTTTTTTTCGAGGCCACGGAAAAAATTCTCCAGGTTGTTGACTTATCGCGATTTTTCCAGCTTGACATGCGCTGTATTATACCCTCTCTCCCCGAGTTGTGTGGCGCCGCAGAACTGCTACACAACTAATATTTCTGATACTTCGTTCGGATTGGTGGCCACCTAGCTCCCCCCCCCACCTCTCGCTCTATCAACACCATTTTTTTGAGAAAACAAAAAATCTGTAACATTAGGAGGGATTCGAAAGAACTTGGCAAGAGCAGCCAAGATGGGAAAGGGACAGGGTACGCCATCGTTGTGATCATCACAAGGGGGGGGTCGTATTTGGTCAGAGAAAAATTTTTTTTGATAGTTGATTTCTCTTGTTTCACGGACGCTGTAAAGGGGGGTCGTACTTGGTCATTTTTGGGAGGGGGGGTCGTATTTGGTCAGTTCACGGACGCACTACTATTTCCGACACTTGAAAATGATAGTTTAATTCTGACGACCTCCCCCCCCGCTCGACGGCTCGGTTCGATGAGGAAGGACAGAGGGCTGGGAGGGGGGGGGGTGGTTGTATTTTAGTATGGAAGGGGAGGGGTAGGGGAGGTCGTAATTTTCAGAAAATGATCACAACGCGATGGCGTGCCCTGGCTGCAAGGGTTCTATACTGCCGAGACGCGCCCACTGTTTCAATGGCATGCATTTTCTTTTATGCTCTCTCTATGCCTCGTATATTGATTTCTCGTCTACGCGCACAGTATTTCTTCGATGCTCGCAGACGGGAAATTGCGGCACTGTTTGAAACCGGGTGCAGATAGACCTCCACCCAGGGTGCTTCCGACGGGTTATTTAACCTTTTTCTTCGCTGACGCTTTTTCCTTCCACATTTGATACCTTCTATATGATATTTGACTCCACTATTCTAGCCTTGCTGCTGCCGAATGTGTGCTTGAGTATATCATTATTATTCAGGTTTTTTGGGAGCTGCTTTCTCACCAGTGAAGGCCGATATTAATGGCAATGTTGTCAAAGTTCGTACCCGATTTGAAAAGGATCGAATAGGTAGTTTCACGCGTACATCTTTGATCAGATCCACTAACGTAAAAAGTAAGCTGTTCAGGTCAGCGCTACTTACAAGATTTGATTGATAACGATCTGAAGGATCACGGTGGAAATTTGGGAATAGCCACAGAAGGTCTTTTGTGGTTGAAAAGGTTGTTCAGAAATGTCTTCTACTTCTTTTCTCTCATGAAGGTGGAATTCTTCCAGAGGGCTTGAGTTTATGCTGGAAATGCTCACATTGATGGTGCAAGAGTACAGATCTACAGCGGACAAAAGTAAAA